GATATACACATGTAGGTGCACACACGGAGAGAGAGAGAAAGAGACAGAGAGAGAGAGAGAGAGAGAGAGAGAGAGAGAGAGAGAGAATAGTTCTTCCACAATGAATTCTGTAGCTAATAGCCTTATACTCAAAGTGCTTTATCAATTTAGTGAAATATAAATTTCCATGATAAACATTATAAGTCCTCGATAAAAATGTTGGGTCTTGAGCAATTTGCTAGGTCAGATTAAAGGGAATTCAGGAAGAAGTCAGCTACCTATCCATGGAAAAATGTCTACTAATCACAAATTGTTAGAGCTTATCAATCCAACATAAATCCCACTCTTCACCCTTTTCTAGCTTTGGTGTACCTCCCATCGCCCAGAGCTCGTGCGACCTTCCTTGGAAAGGTCACTAAAGGACCTTCGGTTGGACTATGTGGACCTCTACATCATTCACTTCCCAGTGTCTGTCAAGGTGAACAGTTTGGATCACCAGAAGTGTTCATCTTTGATGTCAACATAATCATCATTTTCATGGCTGGTTGAACTCAGATTCTATAGATTTATACAAACTCATTTTTCTTAATTTTAGAGTTTATATAATATAAATAAGGAGATGAGGCAATTACTAGATTACACCTTCTAAGTCATCTTGACAAATGCCTCATTTATTCATACATTCCCAGTGTATTACCTCAGGTTCATTTAGTTTTGTTCCAGCAATTTCCATTGGTGAGACATCTGACCAAGTCATACAACACTGATACTTCTGTGCTTCTCTGTATTTTGAAGCAACAAAAATAATCCTAAAAAATGGTTTGGTCTGTTTGGATAGCTCCTTTGGTTAGTGGTTACCATGTAAGGATGAGGACCTAGTTTGATTCCTAAAACTGCTTGTAATACCAGTGCTGGGAAGTGGAGGCAGAGGAATCTCTCTGGCTCTGACTGGCCTGTCAACTTAGCTGAATACCTGACTCTCAAAAGGCAGTAAGAAACATTGTGTGAAGTAATGAAGATGGATGCGATTTTGGCTAACACCACTAAAAGGTAGTATACATATGTGTATACCTGCACAAAATTTGTGCATACACTCACACATTAGCATGTAGACACACATACAGCAACCACAAAAATAACCTTACGTGGTCATTTTTAATCGTTGGTTGCTGTGAGCCCTTCATGACCCATGCAAGATGAGGAACACTGATTCATAGCAGAAATTAATCATGAAATTCTTGTTTCTGGCATTCATGGCAATGTCCCTGTAGGCTTCCTCAGTAGGAAACATCAACTAAAACACTCCGTGAAGATGAAGTATATTATTTATGAATATAAAAAGATGCAAAAAATAACAGAACCCTCCACCCGAGGACACTCTTTACAAATCAGTTTAAAAACCATAATTATGTGCAATATGATTCGTCTGTCTGAATGAGGCTCTGTTCCTGTCCTTCTCTTTACCTGGGAGCGTTGCTACTGGGAAAATGGAGCTGTTGAGAGATTACATTAATATTTCTTTCTCTTATAGCCAGATGAGAAAAATCTCCCCACAGAAGAACATGGAAAAGTAATATTTGACACAGTGGATCTCTGTGAGACCTGGGAAGTAAGTGCTGGGATTAGAGAACACACAGGAAGCACAGAGAGAGTGTTGTGAGAGTGGACTGTGTCTTCTTTGTGTAATGACCTGTCTACGAGTCATTTTGTCTAAGAGTTAGGGGAACAGGCATGACTGTAATGTAACATAAATAAAGGAAGTAGTTTGGGGAAAAGGATTGTGCAGTGAAGATTCTAATTTTCTAAGGAGAGCAGAGGACGTGTCACATGGTTACTATCATTATTTTTTTACTACTTTTATTCTTCTTGAGAATCAACTCCAATGGACTCCTTCTTGTTTCTTGACAGTGCTTTGTCTCACAGCAAAACTTTTGCCCTTAGTCCATCTGTAGCTAACTGTGTAGATTATTTTGGTTCCACCTCTTTCCTCCCCAGGCCATGGAGAAGTGTAAGGATGCAGGATTAACCAAGTCCATCGGGGTGTCCAACTTTAACCGCAGGCAGCTGGAGATGATCTTGAACAAGCCAGGGCTCAAGTACAAGCCTGTGTGCAACCAGGTGAGAACCCAGCCTCCTGTCCTTGTGGTTCATCCCCTTCTTCCTCTCCTTGCCAGTGGCTGATAGGTGCTCCCTCGTATTTCAGCTTCGTTTTATGCAGCAGTACAGCTGACAGCAGACTGTTTCCTAAGGCATGTAAGACACTTGATTTTACTTTTCTCTGTTATATATTGACACTTTTCCAGTTGTTTGTAAGATTTTAGGAAGATAAGCATGACCAAGGTGGACTATAGTAATTGATGACACCTCAAAGGAAAGAAGAACTTACCACTGACGACGAACTTACCATTGAAGGATGAACAATGAAAGGTTGGCTGAAAGGTGCTGCAAGGAACTGTAGATAGGAAGACTGAGGAAAATCTTGCATGTGTGGTCACCAGGGCTCCTGTGAAAATAGCTGATGGTGGTGGTCAGGGTTTGTGTGGGTTCAGATGTTTGAGTAAGTTGCTTCTTATTTGGTGTCTGGCTTGTGACCAGGGTTAGCTACACTGGAATTTGCAACACAGTATGAAGAGTATCTAGGTCGGAGGTAAGAAGTTTACTGTTTGTGGTGACACATTCGGGCAGGTGAAATAAATTAACACTCAGGAACCTAAAGCAAAACTTCCAGATGACTTTGTTCCCGAGCATATTTTGATTTCTGTTCCTGGACTGTGGTAACAAATACATCATGAATGAACTTCTTTTGCTTCCATGAATCCATTTTCAGAGGTATTTTTAACAACTTGCAGAGAAGTACATGTCCCATGCAGGAAATGAAAGCATAAGTTACTTGTATATTTGCTATATCATGACCAAGAACCAGATTTCAAGTATTAAAATAGAAAAACATTGTGCTCTTTATTATTGTTTGTTTTACTGGAATTTTCCTGATAACCTACTGAAAGCACTTAGAAAATCTGAACGGATGGTAAAGATCATTCACTTTATTTCATCTGTGTCTAAAATTGTTCACATTTTGCGAGGTTGCAAATTAGATTCCTATATGCGATTATATATAGATATATACATACAAAATGTTGCTTTAGCTTTCAGATTTAGTGGCAGGCATGACTATCCATCTCCAATGGTTGCAGAAAACTTCTAGGAATAAAGACATGTATTCTTCTCTTGGCATACCTCCATTAAGAGAATTTAGGAACTAAGCAACCATTCCATTCTATTTTTCCTTTTCCTTTTCATGATCTTTCTGTGCTTCATGCATGCAAATGTATGGGTGTGTACGTAAGGACGTGGATGCCTCTGTGTGGGGTGTAGGTGTGTGTATATGTGTCTGATCCTGGGCGTTTTCTGTTATTCTTCTGCCCTATTCTTTCATGCAGGGGCCCTGAGTCTAGTCCTCTTGCTTACACTGCAAGCTCTTTAACTGCTGAGCTATCTTCAACATATATCTTATTATTAATGATCACTAAAGGTTATTTCTTGTTGAAATTTCTATATCCTCCAAAATGGTCTTGTGTACTACTTTTCCCATGAATGTTGTGATTCACATACGTCTCTTTCTCAAGTTTTTCCATCTTATCTGTTGTAAAATAGATCTTTACCTGCATGATATCTAGGAAGGATTTTTCAGTTATTCTGGATTCGTTAGATATATGTGCTTTAATGAAAAGTATTTGTCTCACTGTTGCAAGCTTAGGTGATTTCAAGTTGTCAGAATGGATCATTGTCCTAATGTTAAACATTTTTTCCCTGGAAAATATCCTTACTACATTCTGATCTTCAAATTGGACTCACCTAAATTCCACGTATTGATGAGTTACCTCATTGTTAGTGATTTTTAAATAAAAATACGGAGGACTGAGTGCAATTTATGGGAATGGGGAGACACAGAAGGGCAAGAGCAGATATGATCAAAGTTCAGACTATAATTGCGTAAACATATCTTTATGAAACCTATCCATGTGTACAATAAATGTGCCAATTAAAAGTAGCCTTAAATCATTCAGGAACACAAATTTAACTCCATTATATATATATATCAGAGCACATGAAATTGGGTGCAGGGTGTTAAGGGATGGTACAGGAGCTGGAAGGAATCTAAACATGATCAAAGTGTATATATATATATATGTATATATGTACATATGTATATGTAACAATAATAAGGAAGAAGACAGGAAAATGAGAGGGAGTCGGGGAGACCTGAACAGAGGTATAAGGGGCTAGGAAGGCTGAAAATAATGCAAAAGCAATATTCAGGTCTCAAAAATGAAAAAAAACGTTTATGACGATGTACATGGGTTCTTTTTTTGTCTCTTAAAAATTCTTTCATCTTTTTGTGTTCTGATGTGGAGTCTAAGTCTGCAGCCCAGGTTGGCCTTGAAATTGTGACTGTCATCCTGTCCCCTATGTTCTGGGATAACATGCATGAGCCATCATATTAGTCTTGATGTTCATATATTCAATTCAAACTGTGTTTCATGGGATTTCCTGATTCACCTGATTTAGTTTGAACATTTCTTCTTTCTATTTAATATGGGTTTTCATGTAATATGATAGTGTTCTATCATCCCTCTGCAGGTAGAATGTCACATTTATCTCAACCAGAGAAAACTTCTGGATTTCTGCAAGTCCAAAGACATCGTTCTGGTCGCTTACAGTGCTCTGGGAAGTCACCGAGAGAAACATTGGTAATAAGGCCATTAGGAATTTAACCTAAAGTTTGACCTTAAATTTAACCTAAAAATTAAAGTCATTGTTGATGGCATACTTCTAATCTTGAAATTCTAACTTTCTGGAGATCATTCTCAAATGAATCAGATACAGGGTGAATCTACATTTTGGAGAGAATAAAAGATGATAATAGTTTCACAGGTCCACGGATCGTATTTAGGAAACCGTGGTCTCTGTTAACCAGCATCATAGGTATTGACCGTTTCTTAACACACTAAATATATAGATTAAGGTATTCAGCCTCTTTGCCTCTTCTTCTAGGGTGGACCCGAATTCCCCTGTTCTCTTGGATGATCCAGTTCTTGCTTCCATGGCAAAAAAATACAAGCAAACTCCAGCCCTGATTGCCCTTCGTTACCAGCTGCAGCGCGGGGTTGTGGTCCTGGCCAAGAGTCTCAATGAGAAGCGAATCAAGGAGAACATTCAGGTGCTGAGTGAGGCTGTGGCTGTCAGTTTCACCCATAGATTTATCTTACTTATTTCTTTGCAAACTCATGAGATTTCTTTTAGTTCAGTCCTAGCTTACATCTCCCTTGGCTGTGTGCTTTACGCACATATTGACCGGTTTTACCCTGCTCCACAGAAGTGCTTCTGTTTGTACTGGTAGATAGAATTAAGATCAAAAATCACTTTGAATTTCATTTTATAACAAGTATCTTTTCAAATCCTGCCCTGCAGAGAGTAATTCTATTTTCCTTACAAATAGATCATTTGTACCATTAACGATGGTTTTCCATAGTGAAAGTCTCCCAAGCCTTTCTACTGATTCCATAAAAAAATCATTCATGTAGCTCTTTGACCTATGCTTAGGGATTTTTATCTTGGTTCATCCATCAGATTATCTTGCCCTTCACTGGATTCTCGGATGCAGTCTCTTACGCATTTGAAGAGCAGTGAGGACCCTCTACTCTGAGACCTAGATCAGGTGTTGTTATACAGATGTTGTTGTTATTTAGATGTGTGGTATCTACTTCCTTGGTCTCCCCTGTGTGCAGTTTCTTGATCTCCCCTATGGGCAGTTCCTTGGTTTAATCTTAGATCGGGAATACCAATCCTTCTGGAAAATACAACTATAATGTCTGCAGGCTAGGGAAGTCTCAAGATATGTGGGAATAGTTTCTTTTATATCCTAATGCAAGTAGCTCTGTGCCCACAAAATGAAGCGTGTGGACGCTTGAAGATGAAGTAAGGAGGCACCGTTATATCGGTAAATCCACTGCATTTTGTATTCTAGAAATTCATGTATCGCGGGTTCACACGTGCTGACTGAACTGTAACCTCACAAACTAATTTTCTCATTTCTTAAAAGTATAAATATGAACAGGAATTCCTTCTCTTTCTATATTGAGATTCTTCATGGTCTTCTTTTGTGGTTGATAAGTGTTCTAGAGAGTCAAAATTTCATTTTCTTTCCTTGCCAGTTTGATGAACTGATGTTTTTACAATTTCAAGTGCATCTCAAAATGTATTTGAAATATTAAGGTAAAAAAGACAATCACCATCAGTGAGTAGATGCCTTTCTCACTCCATCATCAATTACCATATTTACTTTTGCCTAATGTTTTGTCTGGAAATGGGTCTAGCTGTGCAAAATGACAGCTTTCCTAACTCCGACTCTTATTTAAACATATCTTGGTTATTCTTTTGTGTGTTTTCCATTTTACACATCCATATTTTCACCAAGGGGTTTATTTTTATTAATTTTTTTTTCATTGCTAATGAATAGATAACTTTGAGCATCTGGGAATTCCTTCAGGCAGCTGGCTTTCATGAGCTACTGCACCCCCTTGTGGTATGATTGAGAAGTGGGAGAAGGAAATGGGAACGTTGGTATCTTGGTATGTCCAGTTTCCTGATGTTTACAGATCGTAGATGCTTTCTGGCTGTTTTACTCATTTGTTTGCTTTTGCAGTTGTTGTGACTTCTTTTTGGTTTCAACTGTGGTTTATTTTGTGGTTACTGTTGGTTTTGAGATTGGCTGCCTTCAACTTGCTATGCAGCTAAAGATGAACTATTTTTTTTTTTAATCTGTCACTACCTTCCCAGTTCTGGGCTAACAGACATGTGTCACCACACCTGACCTGTTCTGATTATTATGGATTTTTCCATTATAAAAAGTTTAGAGTAAATCTGCTAACCTCTGTCTAGAGTGTATAAGCATTTGTTTGTTGGTTCATCGAAAGTATAGACTGTGTTGGAGACCCATGTTTTTTTGACAACACTGAGGTGTCTAATCCACAATTATGATAGGCATTTACTGTTATTAGATGTAATTTTATATAATATAGTGACTTCTGTGGTTTCCATGCTAATTTGCATATAGTCTCTGACTTATTCATAGAAAACATAATTCTCATAGTTTTTTAATGTTTTCATTTTTGTTTTGAAGAGTTTCGAATATACAGGAAAATTTTAGGAATTTTGAAATTAATGTCTTCCCTTTAAATGCATCTATTGGCATGTGATTGGCTTTTTATTTCTACATCGTTCTTGGGATTGCTGGTTATATGAGTCCGAGTGATTTAGGGGCCCACTTGTTTCAACATGTTAGCAATTGGAGATCATCCCGTTGGTAATCAAACTGCTCAGGGTTTATAAAAGGTGCTCTTCATAGCCAGGCGTGGTGGTGCACACTTGTAGTCCCAGCAGTTGGGAGGCAGAGGCAGGCGGATCTCTGAGTTCAAGGCCAGCCTGGTCTACATGGTGAGTTCCAGGACAGCTGGGGCTAAAGGGAGACTCTGCTTCAAAAAGACAAAAAAAAAAAAAAAAAAAAAAAAAAAAAAAAAAAAAAAAAGTGCTCTTCTGGAAGGCAGTTCCTATCTCCTTTGAATAATTCATCATTAATATTTGTACAATGCCTGTTTAAACTCTGTTCAAAGCGACATTCTCATATTCCAATTGCTCCTTGCCCAGACAGAATTGAAACTGTGCCAATCACAATCCCTGAGTTGTGTGACACAGTTGAACAAATGTGCTTCGGTGTTAGCTCTAAGTACACAATGTTTTCGTCTTTGAATGATGTCAGGCTTCTCTCCTCCTCCCTTCTTTTCAAATCTTCGTTTTCATGTTGTGCTCAGTGGATTCAGTATGTGTATGGACATTGAGTGATGAGGCACCTGGTACTCACTTCTCATTTTAATTCAGTCTGATGAACTTGGAATGTGCAGATTTACTAATATACAGTCTAAATACAGTAAAATCTTTCTTATTTATGTGCTAGGTTTTTGAATTCCAGTTGACTTCAGAGGATATGAAAGTTCTCGATGGGCTGGACAGGAATCTCAGATACTTAACTTTTACTATGTAAGTATCTTTGGTGAACATGTTTTACTTAATTAATTTTTCCAGGAGAAATTTTTTTGAAGTTGCTTCAATAATTAGAAAGAATGCAGAGGTAATTTTGAGCCCAGAATGAGGAAAGTGACTTCTGAGAGTCTTTCTAGTCTGCTCACATTTCTGATCATACAGCAGGAGGGTGAGAGGACATAGGGTAGTCTTGATCTGTTGCATCTTCACGTCACTACTGTGTAGTGGAGTGTGGGTCAGCCAACATCACTGCAGAGTCTACATCTTCCCTGCTGGCTTCTGAGTCTGTGTGTCCCGTGGCTGTGCACTCTGGGTACATCAAAGGGCCTGTTGAATCATTTCCATTCTCAATGTCTTGTCATCTTCTCCCATACATGCTCAGTTGCTCATCATGTTAAATGCAGGACCATCAACCTGTGGTCATCACATCCATCTGAAAATTTTCACTAGATTCAGGTAATTTTAGGACTTGAACGGATTGACAAAGTTTGCTTCCTTCTTGCTGCACGCTTGTTGAGGGATTAGGCAGAGTTTCGAGTATTGCCGGCTTGCTGAGTTCAAGAGACTTCTTGGCATTAATTTTCTGCATCACAGAGATTAATGCAGTGGATTAAGACGTTAAGAAATTATAAAGAAGTTTAAAACCCAGGGAAGGGCTGACGACAGAAACACGTGACTTGCAATTCGTAGGCCTTAGTTTGATTTTGAGAACTAATAATGTATGACTAATGTACTAATGTACAAATATTATATTAGAACTCATATTTGCTATTATTATTTTTAATGAATAATCTTTTTATCCATTCATAGTATGTGTGACTATTGCCATATGAAGTATTTTATAGTTATCTCCTTGGATATGAGATTTTATCTTGTACGCTATTTGTTTTAATTTCTGAATCAAAACCTGTATGTTATAAACAGCTAATAATGAATGGATTAATTAATTTAGAAAGTTGTAATGAAATTGCTGCTATTAATCAATATTTCCTCTAGATAATTTTTATTACAGAGTATGTAGGGAGTTTCTTGTCACAGAAATAGATCATTCTTTTGTTTCATTGAGAAATTATATTAAAAACATTGCTATCACTTTCTTTTTCATAGGTCCATGTTTGACCATTCGCCTCTGTTTTTCCTGTATGTTAAGTTCTTGGGAAGCAAGCATGGTCTGAATAATTTATTATTTCCTATTATAAAGCAATGCTCCTGAAAGGAAGAAAGATAGATTGTATGCTATATTAATTACTCTTCTGATGTTGTGATAAAACACTATGACCAAGGCAACTCACAGAAGGGAGAGCTAATTCAGGCTTATTGTACTAGAGTGGTGAGAGCCCACCATGTAGGGAAGGCATGGCAGCTTGAGCAGAGCTCACATTTTCAATCACAAACAGGTATTGAAGTCTCAAAGCTTGCCCTCAGTGATACACTTCCTCCTGCAATACTACACCTTCTAAAGATTCTGTGACCCTCCCAAACATTGCCACCAGCTGGGAACAAAGTATTCAAATATTTCAGTTGGCTTGAGACATTTCTCATTAAAACCACCGCAGATGCCCTGTCAGGAAAGAAAATTTATACTTTCACAATAATATCATTATCATAGAAATCACACTTTCTAGAAACAAAATGATCAAGTATATTATAAATTCCTCTCTGTCATTTCAGATTTTTTGGCCACCCTAACTTTCCATTTTCTGATGAATATTAACATGTGATGACTTACTCTGGAGGCCATGCTAGAGGAGAGCAGTGGGACTTCTCAACTGCTGGTGCTTGGATACATCACCTCCGCTCTATAGCAGCTCAAACTCTGCTGGAACTATGCCATGGCTCAGGAGGAAAAATGCTAAAAATTTGTCTCATTATGAAAATAAATAAAACACAGCTTCCTCAATATTTATCAATGGCAGTTTATTATTTTAATGCTCTATCTTTTCCCAACCCTTTATGACTCCAAACTTAATTGCCAAGAATTCTGTGTGCAGAAGAGGGCAGGTGATAGCCAGCATTTTACTGGCATTTCTTGATGACAGTGGGATGAGTTTTCCTCCTGTGAGGTATGGAAGTTGTCAATTATTTGTTAATCTCCACTTCTCCAGCTTAGGATGAAAGGATATTTTATGTGGCATGAAAGATGAGTCACACATGCGACTGGTGAGCAGTAGACCCAGGGCTTCCTCCCAGCAGTGTGAAGGCTCAAAACTCCAAGATTCTGACAAACGAGGTCTTGAATGTGAGCCCTGTCAAGGACAGAGATGAGCCAGCCTGCAATGACCACCAGGTCACAAACCACAGTAAAGTTTGTAGGACAAAGAGTTGAGTCATTTCATATGTATGATTTGAAAGTAAAAGGGAATTTTCAGAATGTATTCTGTTTAGAGTCCCACCTCTGGGTCTACACAGTACAATCTGATCAAGAAGACAAGTGAGGCACAATGGGCCAGCCTATTTCCTGGGTAAGTCCAGCAGCACCCACTGGGCCTTTATTCTCCCAGCCTCATTTACCCTCCCAGCTCCCCAGCCGTGTCTGTCCTCCTAGCCTGGGTACTGGCCCATCTCTTGTCTTGACACCTCAGACACCAGGGCTGACCTCTCTTCCCAGAATAACCATGGCTTCTTGATCCTTTGCATCCAGACCAACCCAATTCCTTCTCCTGGTCCCCAAGAGCCCTCTGGGCCTGGTCCCGCCCTCACCTCTCTCCGCTTCCCCGGGCTGCACAACTCACCAGCCGCTTTCCTAGGTAAGTCCATCAGTACCCACTGTACCTTGATTCCCCCAGCCTCATTCACCCTTCCAACTCCCCCACCCCATCTCTCCTCCTAGCCTGGGTACTTGCCCATTACTTGTCTTGGCACCCCAGACACCAGGACTGACCTCTAGATTTACAGCTACCACAGCTTCCTGATCCTTTGCATCCAGACCAACCCAGTTCCTCCCTGCAGTCCCCAGGAGCCCTTGGGGCCTCTTCACACCCACACCTCCCTTTGTATCCCTGGGTGGCATAGCCACCAGCTGCCCAAGACCAGCATCTTTCCTGGGCCATGCTTCCAGGCCAATGCAGCCCCCAAATTCCTGAGGACATCTTTCCTGGAGGGATCCAGATCTTAGAAGAAGGCCTGAGAGCATATGATCCTCATCTGACTTGTGTCTCTGTGGTAACTCATGAAGATGAAAGCAATTTGGCCACTCCAATATAAAATCAAAAGAGAACCAGAAGCCTAGAGCATCCAGCTTTTCATGCCCAACAAATAAATCACAAAGGTACATAAAGTTTACAAAAAGAAGCAGACCTAAACATGAAGGCTTGAGTCTCACACAAGAATCAGAAACTACAAAAGAAATTCACATGTCAAAGTCATTCTAATGTCTGACAAAATAGACTTCAAACTAAAACTAACCAGAAGAGAAAAAGAGGGACACTTCATTCTGATCAAACCAAGAAGATATCACAATCATGAACATATATTCAGCAAACTCTGGTGCACATAACTTCATAAAAACAATGCTACAGGACTTTAAGACCCAGATTAATCCCAACTCATTAATAGTAGGGGACTTCAACAATCCGCTGTCTCCATTAGCTAGGTAAACAGGACAGAGAATTAACAGAGAGACATCTGAATTAAACAATACCATATATCAAATGGACCTAACAGACATCTACCAAGTATCCCACTCAAGCACCAAAGGACATACTTTTTATTCAGCACCCCATGGAACCTTCTCCAAAATAAACCATATACTGGGGCACAAAACAAACCTCAACAAATACAAAAAGATTGAAATAATTCCATGCATTCTCTCAGACCACAATGTAATAAAGCTTAAAATCAACACATGAAGAAGCACTAGTCACCACATGAACATATGGAGATTGAACAACCCACTCCTGAATGATGAATGGGTGAAAAGAGAAATTAAGAAATAAATAAAAGTATTCCTGGAACTAAATGAAAAGGACAATACAGCACAACAAAACCTCTGCAACATGCTGAAAGCAGTCCTTAGAGGGAAGTTTATAGCTCTAAGTGCCTACATTAAAAAATCAGAAAGAACATAAATAAATGACTTAACACTGTAACTCAAGACACTTGAAAAGCAACAACAAATGAACCCCAAATCCAGCAGACAGTAAGAAATAACAAAAAGCAGAGCAGAAATTAATGAAATCGAAACAAAGGAAACAATACAAAGAATCAATGAATTCAAGAGTTGGTTCTTTGAAAAGATGAACAAGATCGACAGACTTCTAGCCCAGTTAACCAAAAGAAAGAGCACCCTGAAATCAACAAAATCAGAGATGAAAAGGGAGACATCACAGCAGACACTAAAAAGATCCAGAACATTAAAGAGAATACTTTAAAAACCTATATGCTACTAAATTTGAAAACCTAAATAAATGGATGGGTATCTAAAGGCATGGGAACCACCAAAACTAAATCAAGAAGAAATTAAGAGCTTAAACAGACCCATAACAGAAAAAGAAATTGAAACAGTAATACAAACCTAAAAAAGCCCAGGACCAGGTGAATTTAGAGTAGAATTCTACCAGACATTTAAAGAAGATCTACATCCAATACTACTTAATTTATTCAAGAAGATAGAAATGGAGGGAGAACTTCCAAATTCCTTCTATGAAGCCAGCATCATTCTAATACCAAAGCCACGTAAAGATACAACCAAAAAAGAAAACTGTAGATCCATATCCTTAATGAACATAGATGAAAAATTCTCAACAAGATCCTTGGAAACTGTATACAGACACACATCAAAAAGATCATCTACCATGATTAAGTCAGCTTTATTCAAGAGGTGCAGGGATGGTTCAATATACGTAAGTCAATAAACATATAAATGGGCTCAACAACAAGAACCACATGGTCATCTCAATAGATGCAGAGAAGGCCTTTGACAAAATTCAACATGCATTTATGTTCACAGTCCTAGAGGGAACTGGACTGAATGGAACATACCTGAACATAATTAAAGCCATATACAACAAACCCATGGCCAACATCATTCTAAATGGAGAAAAATTGGAAGCATTCCCATTGAAATCAGGAACCTGAGAAGGCTGTCCAGTATCTCCACTCCTTTTTAACATAGTGCTTGAAACTCTTGCAAGAGCAATAAGACAAGAAAAGGAAATTAAAGTGTTATAATTGGAAAAGAGGGGATTAAATTATCCCTTTTTGCAGACGATATGATATTGTATCTAAGAGATGCCAAAAATTCCACCAGTAAACTTCTGGAAATTATTAACATGCTCAGTAAAGTGAGAGATTACAAAATTAATCTACAAAAGTCTGTAGCCTTTCTATATACCGATAGCAACCAATCAGAGAAATAGTACATGGAAACACTTCCCTTCACAGTAGCTGCAAAAAAATATCTTAGACTAAACCTGACTAAAGACATTAAAAACCTCTACAATGAAAATTTTAAACCTTTAAAGACAGAGCTTGAGGAAAACATCAGAAGATAGAAGGACCTCCCATGATCATGGATTGGAAGAATTAATGTTGTGAAAATGACCATTCTACAAAAAGCCATTCATAGATTTAATGCAATGCCAATCAAAATCCCATGACGTTTTTTTCACAGAATTGGAAAAAAAAAAAACACCCTAAGACACATATGGAAGAACAAAAGCCCTCAGATAGAAAGAACAAGGCTGGGGGGATTACCACACCAGATCTCCAACTGTATTACAGAGCTATAGTCATAAAAACAGCATGGTGCTGGCACAAAAATAGACCCGTAGATCAATGGAACAAAATTGAAGACCCATGCAGTTTCAGCCACCTGATATTTGACAAAGGGGCCAAGAACATTCACTGGAGGAAAGACAGCATGTTCAGCAAATGGTATGGGCAAAACTTGATCTCCACGTGTAGAAGAATGAAACTAAACCCCTATTTTTCACTTTATGGAAAAGTCAATTCCAAATAGATCAAAGACCTCAACGTCTGAAATTCTGAAACTGTTAGAAGAAAATATTGGCAAAAACCTACAAGATATATGTGTAGGAAAGGATTTTCTAAACCAGACATCAATTGCTCAGGAAACAAGGTCAAGAATCAAGAAATGGGACCTCATTAAACTAAAAAGCTTCTGTACATCAAAGGAGGCAACCAGGGAAGTGAAGAGAATACCCACCGAATGGGAGAATAACGATCACAAAAAAACAAGGAAATAACCCAATTAAAAGATGGGCTAAGGAGGTGAATAGAGAGTTCTCAAAAGAAGAAGTAAAGATGGCTTAAAAGATGTTCAATATCACTCATAATTAGAGAAATGCAAATTAAAATCACTTTAAGATTTCATCCTTCCCCAGTCAGACTGGCTAAGATCAAGAGAACAAATGATACCAAATGTTGGAGGGGATGTGGGGAAAGGGGAACACCCATCCACTGTTGATGGGGCTGCAAACTTGTTCAACCCCTATGGAAAGCAGGGTGGAGAACTCTTAAAAAAATACAAATGAACCTACCATTTGACCCAGTTATGCCACTCCTTGGCATATACCCAAGGAACTTATCCTATTGCAGAGACACTTGTACATCCATAGTTGTGCTGCTCTTTTCACAATAGCTAGGAGATTGAAGCAACCTAAGTGTCCCTCAACTGACATGTGGATAATGAAAATGTGGTTCATTTGTACGATGGAGTTTTACTCAGCAGTAAAGAAAGTTGAAATCATGAAATTTGCAGGTAGATGGATGGAACTGGAAACCGTTATTCTAAGTGAGGTAACACAGACTCAGAAAAAAATAAAATGATGTATGTTTTCCCTCATATGTGGATCCTAGCACCAAATTCTGAGAAGTGAGTACATATTCAGACATAACTACAGGGACCAGGATAATGGAAAGGAAACAGGGAGGTAAAGGAAAAGA